AAAACACTTACAAGATTACAAGTTTTCCCATTGGCATTTGAAAACTAATTTAACGTAAATGAAAAGCCAATCGAATAATCAATAAACAAATACAAGCATGACAGTGGGCTGGCTAGTTTTTCACTTTTCCAATTCCGTTTGACTTAAAAATGGCACTTCAACCCAAGGACGGATGACCAAGCACTTCGGTGGTTAAACAATGAATTCATGCTATTGTAGTTGCATAAATTCGGGACTGAACCTCCGCATTTCGTTCGGTTGGATTTCCCCCCCGGCAGTTGCATGTCACAAACTCTAAAACAACATGCACTTAAAAGAGTCAGGACATCTCCGCCCACTTCTAATGGATGTGTGTATGTGTTGTTGAGAAAATAAACAAAATGCTTGTTGATATTTTGTGGCAGCCAATGAAGCAAACAACTTTCTGTCCATCCGTTTGTCTTGTGTGTCCATGGCATCCGTTGGCCTGCAGCGGTATCGACAAAATCAACAAGAATCCGAGTCCACAGCAAAACGGGATGGGGCATGGTCAGGTCAATCGTCCCGTTCCAAAAGCTGTCTCCATCTGTCGCATAATTGCAAACAAAAGCGGAAAATATGTGTGCCAATCGGTCGAGATCAAATCCGAATCCATAGCTCAATCTCAACTGGAATTCGAGCTGAGTAGTGAGTTATCACGTTTCACTTGCTACCTTTTAAACCTCATGCCACAAATCGCACACCGCCAAAGTAACTGAGAAAGTAATCAAAATTTACTTGGTCTCAGGTGGCAATTCACTGGAAAAACAGAGAGCTTCGAGCGGTGACAATCATATACAAAATGAAATATAAAACGTCTTTGAAGAGCCTATATTTAAGACCTTAAAGTTTGCTTACTTGAAACGTTTTTATGTCTAAAATCATTTATTTCGCTTTGAATACCCGAAAATATCTATCAAACATTTTTGTTTGTAATTTGAACGCTATAATCTGTCTGGATGCATTTCAGAATAAGTGGAAAGATATATCTAAGTTACTTACTAATTTAACTCTATTTAAGTTTTTGAAAGACAAATTAATATAAATTTTAAAAAAGTTTTTTACATGAATATGTTTTAATAAGAAGCTTTCAAGATTATAAGAATAAAAACTGATATATAAGAAAGCTAATGGGAATATAAATATATTATTGAATCATTTAATTCTTTTATAATTTTAGGAGTTAATTCTTTACTCCTTATTCTGGTATAAGTAAAAGTAGTTTACCAATAAAAATATTAGAATAACTAAAACCATCAATTCTTAGGAATTTCGATCTCCCAGAAACACAAAATACGTATCTAATCGCCATATATAAACCCCCGTCAGATTGACGTCTTTCCCCGTGTTCCACAACCAATTGCCAGCATTGTTGGCGACAGATTTTAGCCGCTTGTTAGTGGCTAACAGTGGCGTTCATAAATACACACACCGAGAGCTGGGTTAGCATCGAATCCTTGTCACATGCTGGGCTACACCTTGAACCCCGCGTTCGATGGATATTTTACTGCGGCGCATCCCGCTTTTCCCGCTTTTCCTGCTCTTTCCACCCCAAACCGCGCCTTCGACAACAAAGCAACGTTTACGGCAGAAACCGCAGCACCGGGCACAAGGTAACCAGCACACACATCCCGAGTAAACCATATAAATAAACAAAGCTCTGCCCGTCGTCCTGTCGTCCTGCGTCCTGCGTCCCTACGCACTTTGTCGTGGAGCGAGAAACGAGAGGCAAACTGTCGAAACTGTCAGGATGTCAAATAAGCGACAGTGGGTGGCAGACAGCAGGAAGTGCGGTGGTTTCGAGTCCAGACCCGGCCAGAACCAGAACCAGAACCAGCGGCAGTATCAGGATCAGTAGAAGGACCACGACCACCCTAGGCATATTTATTGGAAATCTGAAACAGCTCGAATGTCCGCACTGTGAAAAATATGCTCCAGTTCATACTAACTACGTCTTTACTTAAATTGTTTACTTCGCTCCATTTGATTATTCCTTAAGAATTGTAAGCATATTGATATGATATGATGATTACTACAAATCTAAGCGCTGAATTTTATTCCAAGAGTAACTGGCTTGTCATATTCAACCAATAATTCAAAAATATAACAATCTAAAAGAGCAAATTAAATGATATAGAAAGCAATTCGTAAAAATAACACTTTAATAATTACATAAATATATTTCTTAAAGCTTAGATAAAAAACTTGTTCATTGTCAAATTTATAAATCGTTAAAATTCCTAATGGACCTTTGCAAACCCAAGATGTCTTAAATAAAATAATTAGCTTAATATATTCTTTAATTCGTTTACGCATTAAAAGAACAAATATTTAACGTACAACTTTAAAACACATAAATTAAATTTATGTTAATAGAATTCCCACAAAAGAAATTCACCAATGTCTAATTCCAAATATTTATTTCTTAGATTGCTATACCTTTGCTGGGAGTATTAAAACAAAGGCGTACCAAAGTTATCAGAAAAGCGAACCTTGTAATATGTTTTTCCAAGTGCCCTTTTCCACCCACTCCAGTGTCAGCCACTCCTGACCATGTATCCATGTCCGGCATCAGGCACAAAGAATTTGTTACATGAAATTGTTAACGGGCTGAAGCCGACGCCTCGACTCGACTGCGTTTGATGCCTTTTGCTGATATATGGCCAACCTTTGACATCCTTTAAACGAGCAACATGATGCTCTAGATTATGGCCAGGAGATTGGCTCGGCTTTTCCCTGTTGGCTCCTCGGTTTGCCCGGATTGTCTCACTTGGGCGATACGTCAATGTGACAGTTTGATAATTTATTTTGTTCAAATTTTGTTTTTCCTTTGCTTGGGGGAAAGCGCTTAAATAAGTTATCAACGAAGACCGAGGGCCATGTAAATGGCAGCACGTAAATGAATGAAATTATTTTGCAACAAATTAAGGCAAATTTATGCGTCAAGGCGACAGGACAGGGGATTCGAGATGGGTGGCCGATGGGAGACTGGAAGCCTTGTAACAGGAAACACAATCCACAGGCAAACAAACAAAAGCGAAAACGGAACGGAACGAAACGAAACGAAACCAACAAACAAACAAACAATGAAACGAAAACGGCAGCCTCGATGAGGGAAAAGCGTAGAGTTTTCCTTCAGCGAAATCCGAGCAAGGCTTTGTGCAACAAAGTGAAGAACCCGGCTGCCCTCTTTTCCGCATTTACCCCGCAAAACTTGGGCTAACTGGGTCCGCTCTGCACTTGTACACATCCAGATATATATTTTTTATTTCCCATCCTCACTCGGCGAATCAAATGTCAATAGAGAGTACATTTCATTCAGCCGGGTGATGCCTTTCCACCCAACAACACCCACTTTTCAGTTCCCGCACTGAAGCTGTCACAGTGTTTGTTTGCGGATTTGGAGCTCTTTCCTCTTTGGCAACGCGCTTTTTTACCACGCCTGCCGTTATCCTTTAACGAAGGAGTAGCCCAAATCTGAGAAACTGAATGTAACACCTTGCAAGTTTATAAAAATACCACAATATTTTATTTTACCATACATATACTTCATTGAAATATAAATTTTTCAATTACACTTTAAGACTTGTCTCTTTGATATAAATAAAAGAAACTGTAAGCAAAAACTGTAAATAGTTTTAATTTTTTTTTTATTAATTTTTTCCTTGATTGTTGAATATTTTAATATAATATTTAATAATATTTTTTCACAGAATAATTTTCCAGGATATTGAAAAGTGCTTAAAATTGAAATCTTATAGCTTGTATTATTTAAAAAAATTTTCTTTCACTATTGCAAATTCTTTATCCTTAGTATATTTATATTTTTAAGGAACAAAGAGAGCATCTGAAGGTCAACGGGTTTTCTTCAGGGACCTCTAATCTGCTTTCTGGTTCCGATTCTGGTTTTATATCCGGGCATCTCCTCGATGCTGTCCGCCTCGTTCTACACCCATCGACTGAGATGCTCTGCGCTTGCTTTTTATTTGCACGGAAATGTATAATTTTTCCGAGTCAAATGTAAATACTTTTAGCGTATTTTTGTGGATTTCATTGGGTGGTTTGGCTTGCCTTGAATTTTTTGGGTCCGGAGCTGGGGGCGTGGCACATGCAAATGACACGCCTGATGCTGCGTAAATAATTTTAGCGCTCTCTCTTTTGGCATAAAATGAAAAATAAACATTTTATTCTTGGCAAAATTCCTTCTTTAAATGTGGGTCAAATGGTGTCCAAAAAAGGCACTTTTATCTCGAAACCAGATGCCGAAAATTCAGTCTAATTGTATGCGTATTTGCTGCGGTTTGGTTTGAGTTGGTGGAAATGTCACGTTTCAACAGCTCAATTTTCGGTTTTGGCGATACGCGAAGAAAACTTTTCGGTCCAATTAAATTCATCTAAAGCCGAAATCTCGATTTGACAATTTATGCATCCTTGTGAGACACCGCTGGCATATTTATTCCCATCGATGGCTAGACAATGACGCCTGCGGCCCAATAAATAACGCTCCCTTTTGACACAATCGAAATTGGCTAGCAAACAAATTTCTCTGGCCAAAATGTGGCCTTTTTTTTATTCCTGTCAACCGGCACCAAAGGTCAAACACTTAACCCGCGTTGTGCCAAAAAAAATGTGACATCAAATTATGGAATGTAAGCGAATCTCTGCCATTATCGAAAACAATCTTATTGCCATGGACGCATGCCGAACACAAAATTTGGGTTCAATGGGGAGGACCTTTAGGGTGAAAATAATATATTACAATTAAATTACATTTGCAGATTTGTGAATTCAGATTGCATTGGGTAAGCTCGAATACAGTAAGTTCAGCTGTTTAAATTGTGATTAAAATTAATGTCGAATCTGTCCTTTTCCTCATATGAATCGATATTGAAATAATCTAGTTTACATGGACTTTGAAACATCAATGCTATAAAACAACTTGAGCCTGAATAGAAATCCTCATTCCATTCCCAGACTCGCACAGATAAAGTAACCATATTTCCAAAAAAAAAAACATATATTATTTTATTATTAAATTAGTTAACAACTATTGTTTGAACACCATGGCGGGTAAGAGGACAACGTTCGACTTGATGAACCTGGGATATCCCATAAACTCCGATCCGTACGAAGAGCATCCAGAAAGTTCTTCATCGCCCAGTCTGCTGAGAGAAGCTCCACTGTCCCACAGGGAGTTGAGGCGTAAATTGCACAAGGAGGCCAGGAAAGTGATGCCGGACTTTTTCCCGCGGGATCCATCCTCCAGTTCGGACGATTCGGATGATTTTGATTTTCCAGAGACGCTGAACGAAAGGGCACGTCGCACGTCCTTCGCCCGTCGCCGCAAATTGCACTACAATGAGTTTGCGACGGTGGAGTTGGCCAGGCGGCTGATCCACGATGAGTTCACCACCTCAACGGACAGTGCACGTAGCGATGAGATCGACTTCATCGCGGAAAGGGCCGAGGAGGAGTGCCATCCCTGCGAGGACGATTCCAATGACTCGTTTCCGTACCTCCAATACGATCGCGTCACCTGCCGTTCGCAGATTTCCGATGATAGTCTGCCGAAGGAGGATCCGGAGCCGGGATTCGATCCCACCCATCACTGCTACGATAAGATAATGGCTAACTTGGCTGACATGGCCGAGCAGGTACCGGTATTAACTATTCCCGTGGAATCGGAGCCGACACCGACACCACCACCACCACCGCCACCTCCACCACCACCTGCCCCGGAAGTGGTTGAGACACCAGTTGTGGAGGAGGAGACCCCAACTGAACGCAAGCCTTCATTGGAAAAACACACTCGAGTCATAGACGGGGGCGAAAAATGGGACCTCACATCAGTTAAGGCCGTGCCGAGAGTCATTCGTGCGAAGAATGATAAAAGTAATAGATCGCGGAATTTATAAATCAAAGATCATATGTATTTACATTTGAAAGCCACGGCCTTATAAAATACATTTAATCATTGCAACTTTCTATTAAAGGTAGAGAGTTATAACTTGCAAAGACATGTCAAATATTTATGTTGATTTATTTAAAAATATTACTTTCAAAAGTTTAAGACCAACGCTCGTAGCTGGTAAAATTCCACAGCCTTTATTTCTGTGACTTAATATGATTTTTAGGGAGTTATAAAATTGGAAGTTTTTTTTTAAAAATAAAACGTAGCTAAAATAACTAAATGGAATCAAAATGAATGTGCTGAGACCCAAACCTTAATTTAATGCACATCATTTTAAAACCAAAAACTTAAAATAATGTCAAAGCTTTAACACACTCTACTTTATTTTTATCTTCTATCAAAGCAAACCCTTGCCCGCACACGCATCCAAGCTAATTTAGACACCAAATAACCGTAATCGCCTCTGATCTCAAATGACTCCATCTAACGGTTTCTTGGCCAGCACAGCTTAAAAAATATAGTTTTCTCAACCCAGAGACCGCACAATTATTTGGGCCATAAAGGACCCAACCCACACTCACACACACACGAGAGGACCTAGGACATTCGAAGGGATAACTAAGTGAGCAACAACGATAATGACACCTAACGGGCTCCTCTCTTCCACTTGCCTTAGTGTGCGTGGGTGAAAGGAGAAAGTAAGGACGATGGATAGAAAAGCCAGAGTAGGAGGACAAAGTGTTGAAATTGTTTAAAAAACTAACGCCCAACATTATCGCTTCTTAGTGTGTGAGCAAGGATATGCAGGCATGTCTGTGGGTGAATTTTTAGATCTGAAAAATTCTTGACATTGATATCGATAATATCGATTGTGTTTACTTAAGTTCACTTTCAAGATTTTTCTTCAAATTTAAAAAAAAAATGCCATGGGTAAATGGCGAAGTTTTTCAGTTCGACAAACTAAATGAAAAATAAACTTCAGTAATTTCGTATAATATACACATTTAACAACAAATGCATAAATGAAATAAACTTTGACTTTCAACCACTCAAATTTCGTTCATTAAATTAAACTTCGCTATATCAACGCCAACAAGTGCCAATTTCAATTCAAATTTAAAATAAATACTTTATGTTTGGTATTCATATCAATATAACGCAACTTCCCATAACAATTATTTCACTTATTTCCCCACGCGATTTTTTCAGCGCTTATGTTATTATTCAAGAATCTATATAAAGGCCAACATAGTTTGCGGTTATGTGTTCGTAAATGTATTTTTGTTTTTTTTAAGTGTTTTAATGACAAACAAGTAGAAATTTTTTGTCGGCTTTGCAAAAAATGTAATGCCGTGTGGTATCTACTAAAGTATGTATACAGTATACTCGTTGGATGAGTTTGACCAAAATTTAAGGACAATTTTAAAACTTGTTTATATTACATTTTAAAAATTATTCAATAAAATAATTTTTTTTTAGAACCTTTTTTTAACTGACAGCAATTTAGACTTTAATGTAAATAAAGTTTTTGTAAAAAGTCGCTCTTGTTGTTCTTTGTGCTCGACTAAAAAATTATCAAGAGTTAACAGTGCTTAACGGTATTTGTGTGACTTACATTGATGGCCTCCCAATTAAATCAGTATTAAAAGCATATTCATTTGCCGTCCTTTCAACATATTCAATTTCCATTGCCATAAATGAGATACAATGCGCATCTGAGAATTTTCGCTAATTTAACGTTCCTCTTGGCCATGAAATGGAAATAAATATCACGTCATACGATCTGCACCAAAAAATCCTTCGTTCAGCTAATGAAGACTTTGTTGTCTGAGAAGGATAAAGCTGAAATTGTCTAGACATTCTCGGTTGCTTGAACCCCGCGCCTGTGGTCGTAGTCCCAGCTGCTGCTCGTCGTCTCAAGTTCAAAGACAGGACGAAGAGATTTCAATCCCTACTTTAGTACGTTGCGGGCACTTTTATGACATTTAATTGCCGTTTGCTTTTAGTCCACACACACTCCTCCTCAAAGTCTGTTTTGTCTAAGGGATAAAGTTAGTGCTGACAGGTTACAGTAACTTAAAAAACAGGCCAGATAAGCTAAAAAACAGCAAAACATGACAAAAGGTAAAAAAAATAAAGGAAACGCAAAAATTTTCTTATAACATTTTATTTTTGTATTATTTTATAAAACGTTGTGTTATAGAAAAAATGAAATGTAACCAACGTAATCTTGAGTTTAATAAAAAATAAAAATAATAATAATAAAAAAATAATTTTATTTGTATTATTATCAAATATGTGTAACAAGCTTTTTCTGGAACATGCAGATTTCCGTTCAGGAGATATGAGATATATTTTCCGTCAGCACTGGAAATAAGGGTTAATTGTTTTTCATGGGACAGGAACAACAATTTTTGACCTTGCTTGATAAAGTTGTTCGGCTAAAGAGATATTTTTAGACTTAAATAAAATGCAATAAAATTGAATTACGGTTCATGAAGAGAGTAACCTGAATCTCATGTTTTTTTGTATTCAACAAAAATATACAAAAGTATTGAAAATTATTTTTACAATTAATTTACAAGATATATTTTTGATGAACACAAAGTGAACAGTGGCAAATAGACAATTCCGTATTTTATTTATTTAAAAGCAACGCTATAAATCTGAACATACATAGGTCATCTTTAATATCTATAATTGAAATCAAATTTACGAAAGGGTATTTCAAAGTGCTGGCATTTAAATGTAATGTAACAATTTCTGTTATTTTTTGGTGACTCATAAAGTGTCACGTCATGCCGACGAATCAAGTGGAGTGGCTAGCAAGTGCCTCGTCCTAATCATCATCCAAACATTGTGGCCAGTCATCGTGACTTATGTCAACCCTATCAAGTGTGTCCTAGTTTGTGTCCTTGTATGTGAATGCCTTTGAGTAACCAGGATACAAAGCAATTGTCCATTGCATTCGGCAGCATTTGGAGAGCCTTTGACATAAATTGTGGGAGATGGACTACAATCGATGGCGATTGGTTGTCGGTAATCATGCATATAATGGTTTCCGGAGTCCCTCTTACATTAAGATTGGTTTAATGTTGCTGGTATTGGGGGAATGTTCTTCACTTTGCTTTACAGCTTTATTAATTAAAAGGTATAAAAAGTAGAACATGACATTCTAGAAAAAAGATTAGGAATGTTATTCAAAGGAAGGTTACATTTTTTACTGGCAATCGGTGTTAGCTTTTAATTTGGAAACCAACGTTAAGAGTATTACCTATAAAATATATTTTTTCACTTATCTATATGTGTTATTACTAGCCCATTTGGATAAACACAAAAAAATTTTAAGTAATCAAAACATACTTCTTCTAATGTCATCCTGATTGATTGATTGATTTACCCCATTTGTTAGCACTTATGGGACAGTTTACCCTTTTGACCAACCGCCATCGAGCGTGAAGCTGTCAAAACGTGGGCTAAACTGGGGATCGGGGTGTGGAGCGAACGGTATCCATAAAATATGACTTTAAGCCGAGCGTCACGTGCCACGTGAGTGTTGACCCCAAAAGGAAACCGAAAATCATAACTCAATGTCGAGCTAACCAAGTGCAAAGCGCGAAATTAGTTTACACTTGAACCCTGGGCCACCTGTCCTGGCCTGTCCGCCCACCGGGCACCACTCACCTGCTTTTTCCCCATTTGCTTTTTTCCCCATTTGGCACCCATTTGCTACCCACTCTTTTTTGGCCTTCTCTTTGCTGCAGTTGCAGTTGCAGTCGCATTCGTGTTCATGCATAAACAAAATGGCTGCTGCAACAACCGGAAACTGACAGCAAACGACATTTGCGATATGCATCATATGTCTCCCCGCTTTTCCGCCCACCCCGCCCCCACTTTTCCGCTGTCACTTTCGGGGATGCGGGGTCGGGGGAGGTAGCTACTTGGCATATTTCTGTCGTGTCATTGTTCCTCGTGCGTCCTTTTTTGCAGCTGCTCCTGCGCCTCCCCATCCTCCACCTCCTGTTTTCTTGCCGGGAAACCCCCGTTTTCCAACCCCCACACCTCCTCGCTGTCTGCGACTGTTAGCCTTGCAGGTGCAATTATGACGGCGGGCATCGCATCGGTGTCTCTCTTGGAAAACTGGCATTGGGTTGATGAGGCGGAAAAGCATGAGACAGTGGGTTGGCAGTGTCAGCGACACATAAACATAACATCATCAGGGAACTTTTTGTAACTGTCAGAAAATGCCAGCAACAGCAAACAGAGAATACCCCTCGCAGTTAACTGCCTGAATACTCTTTAGCATTGGTCTGAATATTTTCAGCAAAATACAATTCGACTTGTGTGTTTTCCTTTTACAATTTCCCGAAAGTTTAATAGCTATCTTATTTCAGAGGCATCATTATTGCGAAATTATTTAGAGAGTACAAATGAGGATTGAACATATGATGATACAAATAAATTTAAATTAAAACAATATTTAAATTTATATTTAAAAACGATTTATTTTCTAAAATTTTAAAAAAAATTTAAACTTTTAAAAAAATTGACTTTGTTTAATTCATTTTTTTATGGCGTATGACTTATTACTAATGAATCAACTAATGGCTTAAAAAATAGGGGAGAATTTGACTGCTTCCACTATCTAAACTTTTTTTTTAAAGCATATCCAAACGAACAGGCAAAACGAAGAACAGTGAACAAGCTGGAAACAAATGAATGTTGAATGAAACTGCAACAGCAGCAAGAAGAGCAGAACACATATCCTGAGTCCGCTAAGGATACAGGGATCACTGATAAATATGAAAATTATAATGACTCTAATTAACGAAATGTTAAGCTCTTTTCTTCAAGATGTTAAATTTATATTATGAATTTTTGATGTTACCTAGTTTTACTATAATAATTAAATGACGAAGTATTAAATTAGATATTAACCCGTATACTTGAATTGAATTATTTTTTGGGTCTTAACACAAGTGAGTTTCTGCTTCATAAATAAATAATTAAAGATATATCTTATATAAAGGAACTAACGTTGGTAAATCACTTCTGAGAATTTTCAGTACTTCGTTAAGAGAGTGTTTACTGTACTGGCGAAGCTTGGGCCGCTGT